GAGGCTTCGAGCCCGAATTACAAAAACAAATGTAAAACAATTTTAGTATCAGTTTTGCTGAACTTGCACAATACTTTGATGCATAATTATCATTATAACTATATTGGATAAATATTATTATAACTAGGTCTATAAGCGTACATCATGCATATATGTAACGCCTATGTACCTCCTTTGCTCTGCATATGCACTGTCCACACGCTACTTTAGCTCTGCTTGCAGATGCGGTGTGAATGTGTGCCAGTAGAGGAGATGCTGTTGCAGAAGCTAGGACATTGCTGTGCAAGACATGCGTTGCGAATTGACCAACACATGTGTTAGGCCGACTTAGCTAAAATCGGCTTGTTGTGACGTATCGGTGACGCATGGAATACTGTTTCCAGGTCCAAGCCGCTACTCATTGAATTGAGAAAATATTAGTTTATGACCACTTATTTGTCCTATCACACTTTAAAGTTATTTTGTATAAAATCATGATGTAAACAACAGTCTCTGGACTTGCTGCTTCACAAAAACACCAAAATTTTACCAATTTATAAAAAATGTATCACTTTCTGGCCATCGAATATTAGGCATGGACATATATAATGTGATTGTTATTTTTAAAAGTATTACATCGCTTTGTAAACGTTTGTTATTAACATTTGATGAGTCTCCCCATTCAGTCTGATAGAGCGCTTGGACCCGGAATCTGCTTCGCATGACGTTACAATTAACAAGCGGATATTAGCATAATATTTCTAATTATGGAATATATCTCCACCCAATTAGGCTAATTAAGTAATGACAAAAATAAAATAAAATAAAAAAAGACAAATGCTTGATTATGGCCTGGCCCGGCCCAAGGATAGTAGGAGGAAATATTGGCCCGACCAAGCTCGTGGATCAGGTTGGGTCAAGTCTGGGCTCGGGTAGAGAATCTAAACTCTATGAAGCCTTAAGGCTTTGGCAACTGTCACTGAGTTGCTATGGTTACTATTAAAAGTTTGGGGGGGAGCACACCTGATCTAAACTATGATCAAAACTGACCGGAACTAACTGTACATTTAACTATTTAATTGCACAATCTCCAGTCAATCAGAATCAATAATTTCAAGAGACCTTGGAATAACAGAAATTATATTACCGGCCACTTTATTAGGTACACCTGCTTGTTAACACAGCCGATTACATGGGAGCAACTCAGTGCATTTAGGCATGTAGACATGGTCAAGATAAACTGTTGCAGTTCAAACCAAGCATCAAAATGTAAAAGAAAGATGAGTTAAGTGACTTTATACGTGGCATGGTTGTTTGTGCCAGATGGACAGAAATTGCTTATCTACTGGGATTTACAGAGAATGGTCTGAAAAAGAGAAAAAATCCAGTGAGCTGCAGTTTTGTGGGTACAAATGCCTTGTTGATGCCAGAGATCAGAGAATGGTCAGACTGGTTCCAGCTGTTAGAAAGAGAACAGTAACTCAAACAACCACTCATTACAACTGCGGTATGCAAAAGAGCATCTCTGAATGCACAACATTGTCAAACCTTGAGGTGGATGGGCTACAGCAGCAGAGGACCACACCATGTCATAAAGCTTGAATCATCTTAGACTGGTTTCTTGAACATGACAATGAGTTCACTGTACTCAAATGGCCTCCACAGTTACCAGACTCAATCTAATAGAGCACCTTTGGGACGTGGTGGGATGGGTGATTCACATCATGCATGTGCAGCTGTCAAATCTGCAACAACTGCATGATGCTATCATGTCAGTATGGACTAAAATCTCTGAGGAATATTTCCAGTAACTTGTTGAATCTATGCCATGAAGGATTAAGGCAGTTCTGAAGGCAAAAAGCAGTCCAACCCAGTACTAGTACAGTGTACTTAATAAAGTGGCCGGTGAGAGTATAATTAAAGTCATAAATCTGTTTCCAACAATATACTTACACTCTAGTTTCTTCTCTGATGTTGTTATATTTGTTTTTACTGATATTGTGATCTGTTGATGCAGGTTCTGGAATTCTCGAGAGCCCAATGGACAGATTTGGGAAAACTGTGCTATAAACTCTTCACCTGGATGGTCAGATTATCCATGCAATCATGCTTTTAAATGGCTCTGTGAGAAGAACATTTTTAAATAAATGATTACAAGCTGGTTTATGTAATAAAATATATAGATGTATATATATACAGTTGAAGTCAGAATAATTAGTCCCCCTTTGATTTTTTTTCTTTTTTTAAGTTTTTCCCAAATGATGTGTAACAGAGCAAGGAAATTTTCACAGTATGTCTGATAATATTTTTTCTTCTGGAGAAAGCCATTTTTAATGAAAATAAAAATTATGAACCAATAAAAATTATTAGCCCATATAAGCATTTTTTTTTCGATAGTCTACAGAACAAATAATATGTTTAGAAATGTGGTCAAAAAAATTAAACAGAATTTGGGGGAAAAAAATTATCAGGGGGGGCGAAAAATTCAGGGGGGCTAAGAAATCTGACTATATATATATAGTATGCCTAAATAAATTTGTAAGCACATTGATTTCATTATATAAAATGTTTTATTATTGCTAAACGATTATGTTAGATTCTGCTGATATGACTGGTTTGCTCTGCAGTGATGAGATTTAACAATGAATTTAAAACCCCTAATTCATCCACTTCTTCTAAAAACCTGAAACTAAGAGGCTGGTTAACCTTTGGGAAGAATAGGAAAAAAAAGTTGTCGACAATTTGCATCTGGTGTAAAAAAAAAAAATGTTGTAACATTTTGTTAAAAAGTGATTATTATTTTCACTTAGACATCAGTGTGCATTTTATAAACTATAAATGATATTGTTATAGTATTTGAGTCTATTTAATGACTGAAACACAAAATAAATGCTGTACGATTGAAATACTTGAAAAGTTGTGATTTGGTTCTATATGTGTCCTTCTCCGTCTCTGCACCAGCCACAATGTGAACAGAGATTTTGCAGCTGATCATGAGACAATGAACTTTGTAGTCACACAGTGACTATTTGTTATTTTTGTTTATTATAGACACTACATATATATATATATATATATATATATATATATATATATATATATATATATATATATATATATATATATACACATCTTTTTTAACCTTAGAACAAAGTATAATCTTGCTTTAGACAAACACATAAAAAATGAATGTAAGTTGTTCCAGCTAAATGTATACATTACTCTTAAATTATAGTTTTGACTTGATTAAAAAATGAAAAATGTAATTTTTAAATTATTCAAAAAAATTCGGAATACTGTGCCGACAGATTCTTTGTGTTGACGTCGCGGCTCTGTTGCTAAGCTACCACAGCTGGCTCAGCAGAAGCGCGCTAGTCATCAGACATTCTCAATAAACTACAGTACATTTAATATAAAATAATGATCCAGGTCTAAACGATACAGTTTGAAAAGGGTTTTAAAACCATAGAGCAGTCTCTGACAGATAAGTGAATAACTCATCACATTCTTACGAAGATATTTTATTAATTAAAGTTATTATTTCATTGACTTGAATACAGACCTACTTCGCCTGCCTGAATGTGAGTTTATTGCATGCAGCGCTGTATTTCACAGCACAAAACTCGCTCTGATCCGGGAGAGACATGCCAGCGACTACATGCGCTGCTGACTTTTTTTCCTGCTACGCATCGAATAAAGCGAATAAAGACACGCTTAGCATCGTCGATGTCCAAATTCCACAACAACATCACTATATCAATGGAACACGAACTTGGAGACTCTTTTAACAACGAGGAAATAATTGCACTTTTTAATTCAAAGCCAGGACAGCTTGTTAATTTAATACCAGCGAGACCACCTGAAGAACGGCGTGTTGTAATGTCGGCCGTCCAAAAGACTTTCCTTGAAAGCTTTACGGAGCGGCACTGTAAAGGCTGATTTATACTTCTGCGTCAAACACCGGCATATGCTACGGCGCTGACGCATAGCCCTTCGCCGTGGCCGTCGCCGTCACTGATGTGCACCTCTCAAAAAATTTAACTACACGTCGCAACGACGCGTAGTGCAAGCTCTGTGATTGGTCGGCTTGGTAGCGCTGACGAGTCTGGGCTTGACCGAGAGCCGTGCGAATGTCGCGAGCGATTGTTTACAAGTGTGGAGTACCGTGAAGGAGCTCTAGATGGAAAGTTTTGTTTTGTGTTTACCTCATAGTTAAAGTTGTTGCACGTCCGCCAGTTCCTGTCTCAAAATGAGCGAGTTTGAGCCACTTGTACATCCCGGAAGTGTTCAGGAAAAGCAAAAAAGCAGCAAAGAAACTCGACACAGAGAAACAATAACACATCACTGCCAACTAGCGTTTCGGAAGTGTTAATGCAGACCGACAGAGACAGTGCGCAGAAGTATAAATGCACAGCCACGCGCGTTGCATGCGCCGTGGGAAATTTTATTTTATTTTTTTTTTTTTGCTTTAAAGCAATGAATTCAATTAAACAGGATATAATCAGAAGTTTTACCTTTTTTAGTGCACATTTTTGTAGGTTTACTTTAAAAAACAATATACTATTACAGTGTAATTTTAATTAATTTTATCAAAAAGTATTGTTCTAAAATTCAACAAACATCAAATTTTATTTAAAATTAAAATAAATTAAATTAAATTTTCATTCATTAGGGCTTAGTTTTAAGCCCTATTAACACAGGGTCACCACAGTGCGCAACCCACCTTCCGGCCCAACCCATCTCTCGGAATTTATTTTATTTTATTTTATTTTATTTTATAATTTTCTTTTCGGCTTAGTCCTTTTATTAATCTGAGGTCGCCACAGCGGAATGAACCACCAACTTATTCAGCATGTGTTTTACACAGCTTTAATTTAATTTAATTTAATTTAATTTAATTTAATTTAATTTAATTTAATTTAATTTAATTTAATTTAATTTAATTTAATTTAATTTAATTTAATTTAATTTAATTTTGCAACTTATTTGAATTAGTTTCAGTATATTTGTTTAAATGTTTAGCTACATGCCTATTAGGCTAAAAAAATAAAAAATAAAAAACAGTTCACAGATAAGGAAAAAGATCTCTATCATTTCTTAGCAAAACACTTTTTCAAATTTGTAAGTAGACAGGATATAACTGCTCAGTGCGGTTACAGTGGTGTAGTTAAAGTTGAGCCTCAAACAGCATCTACACACAGTGGTGCCGTCCACACACACATCTATCTTACAGAATGGCCTCTAAAAGACCCAAAATCTACAAGAAGGATAATGCCAATGAGACAGGCAAAATGGACAGAAAAGATGTTGAGGAGAAGATCGCAGTCGTGAGAAGTCGCCATGTCAGGACAGAAGCAGAGAACGCCTCACGACACCAAACAAGCAAACACACAGGTACTGGGACACTCTTTCATTAAGTTAACTTATACTAAAACACACGCAATTAAGTTATATGAGTGTTTAAAAATTGTCTGTTTTCATGCCTGTTCTAGATTATTTGAGGATCCGAAAAGCAGCTCCAGTGTGTTTGGTGCTGATGTGTGTTGCTATGCTGACTGTAGTCATAGTGATGGCTGTCAATCTCTACACGATGATTGAAGAGTTTTACGTCAAAAACACAAACCACACCAATGAGATAAAAACCTTAAAACAAATAAAAGAAAACTTACAACGCGTTATTAAAAATTTAGCAGAAAGTAACAAAGCCCTAAAGGAAGAAAATCCAAAAATACATCAAAAAGTGGAAGAACTAAGGAAACAGATTAATAAAATGGGTAATAAAGAAGGACATTCATATTATTGATTTTTTTTTTGCAATGTGCTTTGTATGACTTGTTATAACCAGCCTGCGTAAAGCAGTGCGGATAAGCATAAAGATCTAATTGTTGACCTGATTGTGTTTAAAGATGGATGGCGGTGCAATCAATCCAGTCTTTACTTCATTTCATCTGAGAAGAAAAACTGGACTGAGAGCAGACGAGACTGCAAAGAGAGAGGAGCAGACCTGATCATCATAGAAAGTAAAGAGGAACAAGTGAGTGAAGGAAAATGTGTGTTTGTGTCAGTAAGCAAGCAGTAAACTATGGCTTAAGTTTAAAAAAATTGGACAAAAACAAGTCTTTGTGGTGTTCTGAGACATCTTTATAGGAATTTGAGGGGTGTTGGTTTTATGCACACGTTTGTTAATTCAAAAATATTTTATATATATTTTTTGTATTAATAGGAGTTTGTAGAAAGAGAAATTGGTGTTTCTGATTCAGTCTGGATTGGTCTGACTGACAGTGAGTTGGAGGGCACATGGACATGGGTTAACGGCACTAGTCTGTCCCCTGGGTAAGAAATCATTGAATTGATTTATTTGATTTAGGTTTAAATATTTAACCTGTTAACTATTTAAACCTAATTGAACTGCACTCTTCAAAATTGTGACCGTAATAATTTTTTTTTTCTTATTTTTGGAAGCTGTAAAAGTGTTGTTTTTGGCTTTAGGTAAGAAACCTACAATGATAAAAATATTAATTGGATTTACATTTACAATTTTGGTAACACTTAATTAAATAATGGTCCATTAGTTAATGTTAGATACTGTATTTACTAACACAAACAAACCATTAGTAGTATATTTATTACAGTATCTATTCATATTTGTTAATTTAGTTAATGTTATTTAAGTTAAATAACATTAGTTCAGGTTAACTTAGTGTATCAACTAATGTTACCAAATAGAGCTTTGGATTTAATTATCACATTAGTTAATGTTGAACTATGATTAATTAATGCTTTAATACTTAATCAATGTTAATAAACACATTAACTAATGGAGCATTATTTTAAGTGTTACCTTTTTTTGTGATTGCAAACAATTTATATGGGCTGAGTTTAAACAAACAAGTTGAATTCTGTAATGTTTAACTTAATTTGTATATTTAAATTCAGTTTATATAAACTGTTTGCAATTTGCAATTAACCATTTTTTTCAGTGTAATCAGGGCGTCTACAGGTTTTACCATGTCAAATTTAAAAAATGTTAAGACCACGAAGAATGAAATTTTAGACGAATGCAGGACTAGATGCTAAGGATTTTAAATGGCCCAGCAGGAAAAAAAAAGTAATAATTAGGAATTTCTTAGACATATATTTTAAATAATGTCTCAAAACAAGCAGACCTTATAGTTGTATGCATACAGTTGAAGTCAGAATTATTAGCCCCCCTTTGATTTTATTTTAATTTTTTTAAATATTTCCCAAATTATGTTTAACAGAGCAATGAACTTTTCACAGTATGTCTGATAATATTTAATTTTTTTCTGGAGAAAGTCTTATTTGTTTTGTTTTGGCAAGAATAAAAAGCAGTTTTTATTTTTTTAATAACCATTTTAAGGTCAAAATTATTAGCCTCTTTAAGCTATTTTTTTTCCGATAGTCTACTGAACAAAGAATTGTTATAAAATAACTTGCCTAATTACCCTAACCTGCCTAGGTTATGTTCAACATAACTTAAAAAATAACTCTTTAAAAACTAAATGTTTGCACAACAATAAATATTAGTTATGAGTAGTTTTGCTAAAAGTTTTATTGAGACGCGTTGTTGGTGATTGGATGTGTTTTAAATTAATTAGGTGGCTTTATATAAACAAAGAAAAATTAAAACCTTTTTTAAATGATTTAAGACATACAAGAAAATATTTCAGTAAATTTAAGACATGTTAAAGCCTAAAATTGTGTTTTTGAAATGTAAGACTTTTTAAGACCCCGCAGATACACGAGTAATTGAACCACGCGGATCAATATTGTGATTGTGCCTTTTTATTATTTCTGGAAGCTCTAAAAGTGTTGATTTTGCAATTTTAATTAGAAATGTAATGTGTTTAATTTAGTTAGAAATTTCTAGAAAAAAGTTCTAAAGAGTAAAATGTACTTAAATTGCAAGAAAAAAATAAAAATTATATTGGTTAAGTTAGTTAAGACAAAACTGACACATAAATAAACAACAATAACAAATAAAAAAGCCTTGTCTAGAATGTATTTATTCATCCAACTACCCACTTACTAGTTTAATAACTTGTTTAATACTAGTTTAACAATTCGTATGTATTTTATAACGGGAAAAAAGGTTACAGTACAGGTCTTTGAGTTCAGTAATCACGTGTACCATACAAATACAGAGTGTTTTTCACCAGTGCATTTGTAGAACTTAATTGTTTATTCTAGTTTAAGTGGATGCTTTAATAAAACAAATAAAACAAATGTTCCATTACATCACACATTACGTATAAAATTGAAAAAAGGATTTGTGTTGTTACTTTCAAACTGATGTTTTTATTTATTTTTTTGTGACCAAAACAGAGGTAACTGTCAAAGCATAAGTTTTGTGTGCCCTTAAATTTATATAAACATAGTTGCTCTTCTATCAAACTCTGTGCATCGTTGCAACCATATTTGGCCTAGCCATTTTATACATTTATGTAATTGTATAAACCTTTAAAATACTATTGAAATTAGAAAGAAGGCTTTGGGAGAGTAAAGTCTTTTTCTTTTGGGCGAGTTAGACTTAACTATACAGTCAGTTTTATTTCACACAGAAAGTAGACCTATAATGCTGATCTGTTGTTGCAGGTTCTGGGGAGCAGGAGAACCAAGTGGTACCAGCACTAATGATGAAGACTGTGCCGTTAATCTGCCTTTAGGCTTTGGGGATTACCCCTGTAAAAACACATTTAAATGGATATGTGAGCGACAAAATTAAACAAATAAGAAGGATTTCATTAATTAAAGGGTAAAAATGGAGCTGTTACAACATTGTCTCATTTGACTTTTTTTAAAAACAGCCCCACAAGTTCTCATGAAATAAAAATCTGTAGCATAAAATATTAATAATTGTTTAAGATTTCATTATAATTTGTGATACACTCAATTGCAAAATTATTCATACCACTGGTAAATTCTGACTTAATGTTACTCTAATTCAACCAGCAAGTTTTCTTCTAAACTGAAATGACACAGGCTTCTCCTCAAAGATAATAAGTGAAAAAAAATCTTAGATTGTTTTTATAGATTTGAACAAAAAAGTGAGAATTTGTTTGAGGTATGAATTATTTTGAGCTTGTCTGTTTGTGTAGCTTTTCATATTTCCAAAGCGGAAGTGTATACATGTTTCAATATTAGTGTACAAACTAAGTAAGTTTGGGACATGGCAATTTGTTTAATTATTTTATTTGTTTTATCATTAAATTTAGTATTTTTGTGTCTTGATATGTATTGCTTTTTGAGTTGTCTGAAATCTCATTCAGAATTATGAACATGAATTATGAATTTTAAATTCAACTGTTTTTTCTTGTTTTTTTGTATGATTTCCTAATGTGATTTTTGGTGAATTACAATGAATTCAATACTGGTCAACTTTACACACAGCATGCCAGACCTGTTAATATCACAAATGTGCTATGACATAAATGTATATTTGAATAGTGTTGGAAATTAAATGAACTACTAATATTAAATATTTTTGTGTGATTTTCATAATGCCATTTAATTTTTGGTGTATTACAATTTCCTCAATTCAGTGCCATTTGACACAACATACCTAAACACCTAAACAAAAAACATGCCACTATATCTTCAGATCTACTTGAGATACCAGAACTAGTTTAAGTCACACAAGGCAAGTTGGCAAGGAAATGGACGTGAGTTGATACTAAAAATGAATCATTAATAAAAATAGAAAAATTATATATATAGATTATATATTATATATATATATATATATATATATATTCATTCATTCATTTTCTTTTGGGCTTAGTCCCTTTGTTAATGTGGTGTTGCCACAGTGGAATGAACTGCCAACTTATCCAGCATGTGTTTTATGCAGCGGACGCCCTTCCAGCTGCAACCCCTACTCTGGGAAATATCCATACACACTCATTCACTAAGAACAATTTAGCCTACCCAATTTCAGGAAACCTGAGCACCCGTGACCTACTGGGCCACTGCGTCACCCTACATATATATATATACAAGAGACTACATGATTCCTGATAGTTGCATTAATGGTCTCACATCTAATTTTTGGCTAATAAAATTAATAATAAAATTTGGCTAATATATATATATATATATATATACGTATGTACATATATATATATATATATATGTTATACATTACTCATTAATGTATACATGCAACGTTGACAGTAATTATTAAGAAAGATGCTGTTTTGAATTAGTAAAATGTGCTTGGGATTATCTTTTTATCACCCTGCATAGTGCACACATACTGTATTTGACCTGATTTCGACACCAACTTTAAGAATGGGTTTTAACTACAGCTGATCTAACTGTAGTTCTGCTAAATGACTAAAAAAAAGTTGTCAGTATGGTAGAAAACTGAACATTTTCAGTCAATTAGTTCATCCTTCTGTAATCTTATATCAAAAACAGAAATTATGTCAGTTTATATTATTCTTAAATCATTTAATTTTCAAATACTAAGTGCTTACTTTTGATTTAACTTCATCACTTAATAGCTCAATTTAGCAATTTAAAATAGTCACATACTAGCAACGCTCTCCAACATATTTAGCTACTATAACTGTCCTTATTTCGGTTTTTGGTATAAGATTGCTGAAGGATGTTTTGACTACAGATGTACCTTTTTATACCATCATTCTTATTACCTTTTTAGTAATTCGGCAGAACTACAATAAGATCTGCTGTAGTTTAAACACATTATTATAGTTGGTGCCGGGACAAGAAACTAATGGATGCATAGTTGAAAAGTATAAGATCAGATATATGTCAAAACTCTAAACCGATTCAAGAATGAATTATGTGATTGGCTCCTTACAATTCCTTAAAATTGCAGTCTTATGATTATATTTGGAGCTGAAAACATATAAAATTACATTTAAAAAAATAATAGAATTCTTTTCAGAAGTGCTATCCATGCATCACATTCCGTTGTTGGACTGTTAAAATGGAATCTTACAAGATAGATAGACAGATAGATAAACAGAGGATACGACTGCTCAGTGTGGTTATAGTGGCGCAGTTAAAGTTGAGCCTTTTAAAGTATCAGTACACACCAGTGCAGTTCACACACAAGCAACTTACAACAATCTTGCTTAAAGAGACTGAAAATGTGCAAGACAACCAGCAAAGGTAACGGAACTTGTTTTTACAAAACTATTAAGCACATTGAATTTTAGTCATGCAAATGTCAAGCCTTGATATTTAAGTATTACAAAATATTTGTCAATATATACATGTCATTTTCAGGAAGTGATTCTGTGAGGAATAAAACATACAAAAAAGTGACAGCATATTTGGTGCTGCAGTGCATTCTCCTGCTGGAGGCCATTATATTGCTGAGTATTGAGCACAAAACTAAGGCTGACATATATGAGAACGGAGAGGAAAACTTTGCAAACCAAAAGAATACTTTACGTGAGGAAATCGAAAACTTGGAAACAAAAAATGATGGATTACAGCAAGAAAACAACAATGCAAATAAGCAAAAACAACAGTTAAAAGAAGAGGAAAAAGCACTGTTGAAACATCTTCATGGAATGGGTAATCTCGACCTGCACTTAAACTATGCAATTTTTAGTTTTAAAAAGATGTGTAAACTGTCATTAGTTAGCTTCGGTTAAAAGTAGACAAGAATGAAGAGTTTGTAACTAAACTGGTTGTGTTACCAGATGGATGGATGTGCTATCAATCAGTTTTTTACTACATGTCCACTGAGACGAAGAACTGGACTGAGAGTAAAACAGACTGTGAACAAAGAGGAGCAAGTTTGATGATTATAAACAGCAAAGAGGAACATGTGAGTGAAATATTGATGAGCTGATTGATTGATTGATTGATTGATTGATTGACTGATTGACTGATTGACTGATTGATTGATTGATTGATTGATTGATTGATTTTATTTAAATTCTTTCCCATAAATAGAAGTTTTTTAAATCTGATGCTAATATCTGGATTGGTCTGACTGACAAAAATGAAGACAGGAAATGGAAATGGGTTGATGGCAGCGAGCTGGCCACTGGGTGAGATTGTAATTAATAAATTAATAATTCTCACAGTCAGTATCATATCACACTAAACAGCTAATGTTGATCTGCAGTTTCAGCTCCTGGGGGCCTGGAGAACCAAATGGACTTCAAGGAGAGAGCTGTGCTGCATCATTTTCAGCAGAATTGTATGATTTTTCATGCAGCGAGACTTTTAATTGGATTTGCGAGAGAAAATAATCCGAAAAGCTTTCATTTGTGAGCTAAAAGTAGTAAGATGGTAAAAAAAGATGTATTTTGCTAGAAATATATGCATACATATACAGTTGAAGTCAGAATTTTAAGGCCCCCTATGAATTTTTTTCTTTTATTAATATTTCCCAAATGATGCATAAATGAGCAAAGACATTTTCATATAGAAAATATTTTTTAGTCTTGTTTGTTTTATTTTGGCTAGAATAAAAGCAGTTTTTTTTATTTTTTAAACACCGTTTTAGGGACAAAATTATTAGCCCCTTTTAGCCAATGTTTTTTCGATAGTCCACAGAACAAACTATCGTTATACAATTACTTGCCTAATTACCCTAACCTGCCTAGGTAACCTAATTAACCCAGTTAAACATTTAAATGTTACTTTAAGCTGTTTAGAAGGGTCTTATGTCTAGAAAAACATTATTTTCTGTCATCATGGCAAAGACAAAATAAATCAGCTATTAGAAATGAGTTATTAAAACTATTATGTTTAGAAATGTGTCGGAAAAAAAAATCTTCTCTCTGTTAAACAGAAATTGGGGGAAAAAATAAACGGGGTCTAATAATTCAGGGGGGCTAAAAATTTTGACTTCAGCTGTAGCTGTATACCTTTGTTGTGAGCCATAAAGTGTCACTACAAAAAAATGTGTTTATTAATAAAATTACTCAGCAAATCTATTAGTTTCTTTTTATTTTGTTGGTGTATGTGTACAGCTTCTCAGTTTTCACAGTTACAGATAGCACAACTCAGCATGGTAATTAACAAAATGCCTTAAGGTTCTGTTTGGAAATAGAGAAGTGGGGAAAACTCAAACTATATTTACTAAAAGGATTGACCAAAAACATTTGTATATTCAACATTATTATACTTCACAATTTTATCAGTCTGCTTTTAATTGAGGGTCTTTTAACATGAGTTAGAAAAGATGCTGCATTAAACATTTTATTAGAGGAAATGTTTTTACTGATTCGTATCACTTCCTCTTAGATATTTTTAGTCAGCATTTTAAAGGCTCCCTTGAAAGATGCACACTTTATTGCTTATCTAACATTCATCTGCTTTACCCATAAAGATACTGATAGCTCTTTGACATTTGCTAGTTACAAATTTTACACTCGCTTTAGATGAAGACTGCAGTCATAAATGTATAGAGTTTTTGGCTCATTAAAAAATGCATGTTTCTTCACCAATTTAACTTTATGCTTGATCTTAAAATCGTCTATTTTAAAAGAAATGGAAATCAGAAGGATTGAAATTGTAAATGTAAAAATCTTTGATGTTTTGTTTTTATTTTGTTTGTTTGTTTGTTTTCCGCAACAAGTCTCAATATTGATTTCAACACTGCAAAAAGATATAACAGTGGGTCTGCTACAAGCCTTGATCAACTCTAGCATCCAAAAACAACACACAAATATATTACTCTTAAATGCCATGAGACATTTTGACCATAGTGGTCTCTACTTAAAGCCAAGATAACTAGTGCAAAAATATACTCAAGTCAAAGTCAAGTAATATATAAAGTCAAGTAATGAACCTGAGCAGACTCAAAAACATTATAACTTGTTGTTTTAGATGTTTTAGAGTTTTAGAGCACTTGTCAATAAAACTATTATAGAACAGATAAACAGAGATAGTGAAAAGAAGATGAGTATCAACTAAAAAATAATTCTGTTCCATTTACCTCATATATGAACTTAGCTATGTTAATGGCTGGGCTATGGTTGTGGCCTTATCGTGAACTTTATAAGGAAATAATTGCAAAAAAAAATAATAATAAAAGAAAGAATAAGAGCAATAAAAGTATAATCCAAAAAGTTTCATTTGAAAGATACACTACTGTAAGCCTCTTTCCCTAAAGGATAATAAAGCCATTTTGTCAAAATACAGACACTAGGGCGTTCTTAAGAATGATTCCTAGTGTAAGCATTTTGAGACAATATTCAAGTGATCTACGTGTTCCTGACCATAAGTGAACACAAGAAATGCAACTCAAGTTTAGTTTGTTTGAAACAACATGCAACATCCAGTAACTTTATCAGAATTGTTCAAATTTCATATAAACTCCATACTGTCTCCTGTTATAGGACAGAATACTTAAATAAAAAACTTAGCATTAATTACATTAATCATAATACATACCTAATCATATATAGCTGTCAGGATTTTGCAGTACTGTGTTTTTTTTATTTTTTTATTCAATTGCTATTATAAAAAGTATTACCATTACACTGTACCGTTTCATGTTGAAGTCTTAAGCACATAGGTCTCAAACTCAGTTCCTAGAGAGCCGCAGCTCTGCACAGTTTTGCTCCAACTCTAATCAAACACAGCTGATTTAGTAGTGTCTAGTCTTGAACACCTTGATTAGTTGAATCAGCTGTGTTTAATTAGGAATGAAGCAAACTGTACAAAGCTGCGGCTCTACAGCAATTGAGTTCGAGGCTTATGCAAATTATCTGTTGACATTGGTGTGGTATTGTCCTCAGAGTGCGAATTCTACATAGGTGAGGGATCAATTTTTTTTATTACATCTAATTAATTAATAGTTTTTAATGCTTTGTAGGATAGGCTATTAAGTGTATTCTGACCTGTTTAGCTATTTTCGGCTTAATTTATGTCAAACTATACAAACTACGCAACTAATTTGACTTTACTTTGAGGCTTTATGTCGAAACAAACACAACTTTTATGAGAAATCAGTCTTGTGAACTGTTATAGTGCTCTAAATCTGCCGTATTCAGACTGTTGAATGACGTTTTTCTCGCATAGACTGATTAGCGTGATTATACATTCACAAAGGTATGAACCGTTATAGGGGTGGTCAATTGGATATCTATAATTTTAATTGTTAATATTATTATTTAAAACACAGGTCATAGTGACCCCCCCCACCCCCAATACATATTGTTTTGACGTCCTTAAGGGAAGATCAAACTTTAATTAGGGTGGTCAGTCCTCCCCAAACCCCACTGTAATTCGCACACTAAATGTCCCGTCCCTCCGCTACTATGATTGGATGGCCATCTCAAATAGATGTTGCGGTTTTCAACTTGCAAAGGCTCAAAAAAATAAATAAATAAAAATAAAAAAACAACCACAGAAAACAAATCCTCAGCTAGAGCAAAATATTTTCGGTGGCCATGCACCCTAAATGTTAGCCCCCCAAAAATGGACAAAATGTTTTTGGGTTGACTCCACTGAGGACAAAAATTATGGCTTCAGTTTATTCAGTTTATTTGTTTAGGGGAAAGATAGGAGAGCGTTTAAGGAGAGAGAAAAACATTAAGTATGTACTGTAATATGTTGGCTGCCTTTTTGAAGTCAATTACATAAAAAGTAAAACATCTATAAATAAATGTAAATGCTACTTTGAGTCAATAACTCAGGATTCAAGCCAAGTAGGCCAAACCTCCTTCTGTGGACGAGATGATCCAAACCAAACAAACAAAAGGATACTTGAGAGAGAAAAGAAACCAAGGTTAAACTTGTCAGGTCATGAGAATGGCTGCAAGCAGACAGGAAGCTGGACTCAATCCGAGGGAATTCTAGCGTAGAGTAGGTATAACAATGCAAGGACCTCACGGTGAGGCAATTTACACAATAGTAAATAAGCTTGCCACTAATTTGTAGATGACCAAGGAAAAGTGTCCCCATTGACCTAAATTCACCCTAGTTGACATTATTTCAACACATTATTTCAACACTTCTGTGCTAAAAAAAAAAAAAGTAATTTTCTGATACAATGAATTGAAGGATTGCACTAGCTGCAAGCCTTAATCATTGAAATCAAAAGAGATACACACTTGGAATATATCAGTTAGTGTGTAATAAACCAATATTTAATTAGGGAAATTACTCAACTGTTCGATGACATTCCAACTTATCAAGAGGCACCTGTAATTATTGATGAACTGACTGGAATAATGAAATAATTAGAGTTTGAATTTTGACCTTTAAATTTTTACAACGTTTTTAAACAAAGTTAAGTTTGACACCTTCAACAAGTTTATGTACACTGTTCTGCTTATGGGTGTGTGGGTGTTAAGTCTGAGAGGAAGATGTGTAGTATTTTTAAAAGAGCAAATATCTGTAGGTCACCGAACAAAACGAAACAGAGCTGTGAACCTCAACGGATCTACAAAGAAACAGCATTTAGAATAAGATAAATACATATAATTTAATATTCAAGTAATGTCAACCTCAATGTCCAAACAAATTCATTAAAAGTGCACAGGAAATAATAACTTAAAAGTGGCATGCAAGTTACTTTAATACTGGATAAACGTTTACAATACAGAACTACTTTTAATTTCAACAAATGTATTTACTATATACAAAGTGCACCTGTAGTACAGTGCAGTTATATAAGAATAACATTTCATAATAATGAACCACAGCAAATTGTTACAAGAATTAATTTTAAACTGTTGTTTTTAGCATTCTACCAGGATATCACACTCTTGACCAGAGTGGTGCATTCCGAAAAGTAAAAAAAAAAACCTTAAAGCAGAAGTTTGGAGGCGTGTAGTTCACTTCGGGAAACAACTCTCACATTTATGTTTAGCAGACAAAGTATGTCTTTTTACGGCAATCTGGATATTGTCGAGATGCATGGAACGGAAAGACAAGAGAAAGAGGAGATTTATGCTAATATAGATCCCATAAGTCTTGATGTCAGAACAGAAATGGAGATCTCGGTCACCAAGAAAAACCAGGCACCTCAACATACAGGTACTGAGACTCACTTCATTATGACAAAAGCCCTTATGGCCATTTTAGATATTTTTTCTTAAAAATTGGTCTTAATATCTTGAATAATACCTCTTCAGGAAGTGATTCAGGGAGGATGAGAATCTCTAGAGCAGCTTTAGTGTGTTTGGTGCTGCTGTGTTTTCTTCTGCTGACTGCAGTCATAGTGCTGAGTGTCTTCATCTATACAAACAACACATACTACACTGAAGAGAGAGATGGGCTACCAGACAAGACTGCCAACCTCACAGAAGAAAGAAACCAATTACTGATCAGGCATACTAATCTAACAATACAGACACAGAATTTAACAAAAGAGAGAGACCAACTTCAAAACAGGAATACCAACCTCGCGAAAGAGAGAGACCAGCTAAAAACCAAGATCATGCAACTGACTCAGGAGAAAAACACACTATCATCAAATAACAATAAACTGACTGAAGAAAAAGACCTGTTAAGTCAGGAGAAAAATGAACTGTTGAAAAGTCTTCAGGACAAGGGTAAATATGAAACCTATTATTACTAAATTACTTAAACTTAAAAACGAAAATATGCATTACCAACTATTTAGGTTAAAACTAAAGGCCCAGGTACACTTCAAACTAAGTTATTTTTTTGTTCTTTTATAGAACTTCTTTTGGCTGGATTTTGTTTAAAACGACAGCATTTCAACTTTTTTTTTTTCAATTTCGCTTGAAGTATACTGAGGCTTTAAGGGTGTGTTCACACCTTGGTAGGTCAACTAAAATAATCTCTAAGGATGAATCTCATTTGCAATCCAGATAAGCGCACAGACCACTGAAAATATGTTGTGGTTCAGCGTAATTTTTTCTCTGGAAATGTAGCCTAGAATCAGATTTTCATGTCTGTAAAAACATATTGTTTTACACATTTTATAGACTGATATTTTATAAACTCTCAACTGATTGAAAGCAATACACAAATGTCCAATGAATGCATTTATTGCAGAACACAACATTGTTTTTTATGTTCAAAAAGTTCACAAAAACATGTATCGGTTTTAAAAGGACAATGTAAATGCTACAGTAATTGGAACAGGATCAAATTTATCTTTTTTATTTTGTTTGTCCAGATCTAATAACATAGGAGAGGCAAACTACAAGTGTGGACACACTCTGGGTATGAGAATAAATTGCTAAAAGTTAAACTTTGTTTTAACAGATGAATGGATTTACTACCAGTCGAGTCTTTACTTCATTTCCTCTGAGTCGAAGACCTGGGCTGAGAGCAGAAGATACTGTACAGAGAGAGGAGCAGATCTGATCATCATAAACAACAGAAAAGAACAAGTGAGTGGAGCAAACTTTGTAAATATGTGATATGAAGAACAGCTCTTTATGTGTTATCTCATAATTTCAGGAATTGATAAAGAAAATGCCTTCTGATGATAAATTCTGGATTGGTCTGACTGACCGTGATGAGGAGGGCAGATGGAAATGGGTTGATGGCAGTGCCCTGATGATCTCTGGGTGAGAACTCACTGAGTTAACCCTTTTATTTTATTCAATTGATACTTTTACCTAAAGGAACTGCACTGAAGATCTAACGCTGATCTGAATTTCAGGTTCTGGAATCCTTCAGAGCCTAACAGCTATGGGGGATATGATGAAGACTGTGTTCTAACTTATCCAAGAGGATGGGCTGATTTTTCCTGTAATCAAGCTCATAAATGGATATGTGAGAAGATCATTTTAAAATAATTAATCAAATAACTTTTAGTTTATGTAATACAATTCATAAAGATTAATTATTCCTAACAGCAAGTAAGTTTAAAAGAACTGCAACTACATTTTGTTTGGACATAAAGATCAGAAACAGCAGTCAATTAAAGTCAAGTATCAGTAATGTAAATTAAAATAGCTAAATATATTTAATGGAAAGGATGAAATTATTTAAAGGAACCACACTAAGGGTGCTTTCATACCTGGATTGTTGGTTCAATATAGCAGGCAGGTTTTTTTCTTTTAATTCAGTTTGTTTATACATACAGTATGAGGACATGCATGGCAATCACACTTGGATCCACATCAAAACAACTAATCGGAAATGAAGTGTTCTCAGACAGCTTTAAAATTAACTCTAGAGTGGGTTTAATTAGATTGTATGATAAGATAGTATGTTTGTTTTTATTAGTGTTTGGTAGTCTTATGCCTCTAGGAATTAATTGTGTGTTAACTAGGAGCAAAGACAATGTGAAAAGCCTAAATGATATTTGGACATAAGATCAACTAAAATGCATACTCAAAGTTTAAAGCAATACCTCACACATGCTCAAAACGATAAAGTTGAGCAACAACCGGTCAGCTACGATAAATAGGTTTACTTAGATCACTAAGAATTTACTTGCATGTCGCAGGGTAAAAATATTGCCTTGTGAAAGCAACTAATCCAACCAAGAAGAAAATCTGTAACAGTTTTTATTTTTTTTGTTTTAAAACAAAGCAAACAATCTGCATGTGTGAAAAGGCTATTAGAATGAAATAACAGTCAGTTTTTTATATATATTTTTTATTTTGTAATTTATTATAAATTCAACTTCATTTTTTATTAACTCACTTTCCTTCAGCTTATTTTCTTCATGGTCACCACAGCAAAATGATCTGCTAATATTATTTTAATGAAATAACCTTTTTCTTATATAAATGTCACCTCAAAACTTTTATCAAAAGCTTTTTAACTGCTACTTATACTTGTGATGATTTTTAAATGTCTGTATTTAGAGATGTTGTTGTTTTAATATTAATTAAAAAAAAAGTTTGTTGGTTTTATCTAAATACTGTTTAACAATTCACACAATCAATTCACCCATTAATTACCATTTCTATATAACAAAAGTCGTTTAACTTGCACATATTATTTAATAAAAAAATTCGATTGATTCGTGCTGATGTTTAAGAAAGTTTAAGTAATAAAAATAAAGAAAAAAATCATATTAGTTTTTTTCCATTTCCATTTTGGAAAAGGCTCCAAAGTCCATTCCACACTTTTCAGACACACACGGATCAGACCATTTCTCTCACGACCTGATGCAGAGAGGCTTATTCATGCCCTCATCACATCACGTCTTGATTTTTGTAATTCCTAATTCACCTAAGCTTTGGAATAACCTCCCCATCAGCTTTAGGAATGCTGCCTCTCTGGACTGTTTTAAGAGACTTCTTAAGACTCACCTTTTTACTTTTAATTTAGGATGATCATTTTGTTTAACATTTTATGTCTATCTTATGGTTCATATTTTTATTGTTTTATTGTATCTTTTATTGTTGTGCTGTTTTGCTTGCATTGTGTTTTAGTGTTGTGTCTGTAGCGCTTTGAGTATAAGCACATTCCAAATAACATTTTTTATTTTTATTTTTTTTCAAAGCTTTTTTCCTCATGGTGTTCGCTGTCTCATTTTGGCATAGACATTAGATGAAGCTCTGTTTAATTTTTTAAATGTTATATACTATCCTTTCCTTGTTTTCTATTCATTTAACTTTAATTGCGTTACTTATAGGGCTCATTTATAACTTGTATTTATGTTACGACTTATTTTTTGTATAATTTGTTGCTTCATCAAGTATATGTGATAAAAATGTACAGTCAGCGATTTTACATGCTGTACCATATGCTTTCATCGAAAACTAAAGGCTTGTGTCTTATTGTAGTCTAAACAAAAGTTAATGGATATCTTCCACTTTCCTATTGGGTACAATTGCACAATTCTATTTATAATTTTGAGTGTTAAACTAAACTTTAGCAGACATAATCTAAAATGTGTTTTTTAAAAACAAGTAAATGTTTAACACACAACAAACAATTTGAGTAAAGCCCTCCTAATACAAATGCAAATTCTCACACACACACACACACACACACACACGAGCGCGCACGCACACGCGCACGCACACGCGCACGCACATACACACACACACATGCACACACACACGCACACACACACTAGCCTACAGATAAATCAATGTTGTCAATGTGACTGTACAGTTAAACATATATAAACTTTGTTTTATTGCAAATAATCTGACCACATGCTAAGTGTCACATGCTAATGTGTCTCATTCCGCTAAGTTCCAAATGGAGGAGGAAAGCTGAACTGTCAACCTACTTAGACATAAAAATAAACTGAACAAAACAAACAAACAAACAAAAACATATTAACCATATAACTGGACTTCTACACACTGCAAATACAATAAGCAAAGACTTGCAAGAAAAAAAAACAAGGAACAGAATGTGAGAGCAGAACCGTTTTCTTCGAATATCTGCTATGATCATGAGGCATCTGTTATTAGTCCTATTTGCTGCACTAAAACAGGATATGATGATCTTGACTAATGGAATGGATTGAAAAAGTAAAACCTTAAAAGTGGAAGCGCAGAGCAGCACAGTCAACTCTAGAAAAAACATTAATAATCTCAAATTTAACATCAGCAAACTCAAAATGTCTTATTACGGCAATATGGATATTCACGAAACACACAAAATGAAGAGAGAGGAGGAAGAGGAGATGGAAATTTATGCTAACGCAGATCCAAACAACAGTTCTGATGTTTGGACAGAAACGGACAACTCGGTTACCAGATGCAAGAAACTCCAACACACAGGTACTGATACATACATTACAAACACATAAGCTTGAAATTAAATGAATAATCAGTCAAACTTTGCACCTGCAGGAAGTTATTCTGTGAGGATCAAAAACTCCAGAGCAGCTCCAGTGTGTTTGGTGCTACTGTGTTTTCTTCTGCTAACTGTAGTCATGGTGTTAAGTGTCATCATCTATACAAACAACAAAAACTACACTGAAGAGAGACACCAGCTACTAACAAACATCACCAACCTCACAGAAGACAGAGACACACTGCTAACTAAGGTCACCAACCTCACAGAAGACCAAAATCAGCTACATGCCAAGAACATAAGACTTACTCAAGAGAAAGATGAATTATCGTCCAATGAACAAGACCTGATTAAACAAAGAGACCACCTAAATCAACTGTTAAAAATGGGTAATTATTAGTAGATGTAAATGACTTGATGTGTTCTTTGATTACATTTTCACATTTGTCAGTTTGTCTGAACATAAGTGTAACATTTGTTATGATGTGATGATGATCATGTGTATATCGTTTTACTATACAGTAAAATTCATTCAGCTCAGAGGGCAAAGTTGAACAAAGCTCATAATGTAGTTTTTTGGTGTTCTCAATATTCTTGTGTACTGAAACAAAGTGCTAATAGCTGAACTGCTTGTGTTTACAGAATGGATTTACTACCGTTCCAATCTTTACTACTTTTTCAAGTTGAAAAAAAGCTGGACTGAGAGCAGAAGATACTGTAGAAACCATGGAGCAGATCTGGTCATCATAAACAATAGAGAAGAGCAAGTAAGTGAAACTAATTTTCCAACAAGTGTATGGTAGTCTTTGGTGGAATTTAACTGATGTGTTGGTTTTGCCGATTAATCTGCACCGATAGCTAATTCCCAGAGCTATCGGTTATCAAAAAAAATAAAAATAAGATAAAAATAATAATAATAATTGGCGATAGTCTTTCTAGGCTACATCTGTTACTGGAGCAGTTGGGAGGAGTTTGTTGATTTTGTTTCATGACAATGTACAGTAATTCATTATTTTGACTAATTGCAGCATTAGCAAAATCATCTACACAAGGCTGTAAAGACATTAATATTAGTGGCATTTTAAACAACAATATGCCAACAAAAATACATGCAAGACAGACCCAGTTGTTTAAATGGTTTTGGAGCTTAACAGTCCATATATTTATATTGAACCGTTTTGGTACAGGACTTTAAGTTCTGTAAACATGTTTGTTAAAAGCAATCACAGCTACTACATGGCTATATTAAGTAATATTGCACCTCTGCCTTAATCATTCACCATATATACAGCTATTCAAGCAAAATCACTGAGGGTTTTAAGCGGTTTCCACATTATAATTACAAAGTCATGTCACACCCTCTACAGTGCACAGCATCATTTGTCATTGCTTGGCTGTGCAGCCTACCATTATCAATATGAAATGTAGTCAAACAAACAAACATATGGAGAAAGTGACAGTGACCTCAGCTGTACAGTTTGTGAGCACTTCCAACAGCACTGACAATTTACTTTTATATTTTGTTTATTTGACAATTATTTTATTTATTACAAAAAACACAGTTTGTTTATTTTAAACACTATCCTGATATTTGCTAAATTCAATATCAATCGACCTCAAATCTGTATGTAGAAAAGTGTTATCACTCCATGTTATATTAATTCTTTTTTTTTTTTTTAGGATTTTGTTGATAAAATAACTGCTGGTGAGAAAGCCTGGATTGGTCTGTCTGACAGTGATGTGGAGGGCAGTTGGAAATGGGTTGATGACAGCAAACCAACCTCTTGGTGAGAAATCACTGAATTGAACTGATTATTAAAATAAAAGAAGGTTAACATTTTGGAGTGCTGACAACATTTTTACTAGCCTGTCACAAAATCCCCAAAACATAAGTTATAATGAAAGCACACAAACCATACCCAGTTGTTTTATTTATTATTGAAAACATCCCACATGTTATTAGTGCAAGTATGAACAGAAAAATAACATTCTTTTAACATAATTCTTTCTTTTTCTGTTGAACCCCCAAAAAGATATTATTTAGAATGTTGAAAATCAGTAACCAGTGACATTCACAGTAAAGTAAAAACAACTACTGTGGAAATCAATGGTTACCGGTTCCTAACATTTTTGTGTTCAACAAAAGAACTTAAACAGCTTTGCGACAAGTGAAGGATGACTAAATGATGACAAAATGTTTTTATTTTAAAATGAACTGTCCCTCTAAGCAGAGCCATTATTAAAATAGCAGTACAATTCAAAATGAAAATTTCCTTATATTTTACAGTACTAACCCTTATATCATCCTTATGTCATGTCTTTCTTTACTGAAGAAAAAAAAAGTCTACAGGAAAAAAATTTTTAGGATTTTTTCCATTTAGTGGACTTTGATCAGTCATCTTTTTAAATATAAATCTATATATTTAACCACAAATGCTTGTTGTGTACTATGCATGTCCTTAACTTACACACTATATGATCAATTCCGTGCAGTCTGCCCCCCTACCCATGCATATTTTTCCCCAACTTCTGTTTTATGGAGAGAAGATTTTTTTTCAACACATTTCTAAACGTAATAGTTTTTATTTCTAATAACTGATTTATTTTTTCTTTGCCATGATGACAGTAAATAATATTCGACTAGATATTTTTCAAGACACTTCTAGACAGCTTAAAATGACATTGAAAGGCATAACGCGGTTAATTAGTTACTAGGTTAATTAACTAGGCAGGTTAGGGTAATCAGGCAAGTTATTGTATGATCATGGTTTGTTCTGTAGACTATCGAAAAAAAAAATAGCTTAAAGGGGCTAATAAGTCTGACCTTAAAAAGGTTTAAAAAAAATTAAAACTGCTTTTATTCTAGCTGAAATAAAACAACTAAGACTTTTTCCAGAATAAAAAAAAATATTGTCAGACATACTGTGAAAATGTCCTTGCTGTGTTAAACATAATTTGGAAAATACTTCAACAAGAAAAAAATAAATAAAGGGGGATCTAATAATTCTGACTCAACAGTAAGTACACATTCGTGTGAAAAATTGCGCTTGCCTTGACTCGAACAGTGGCAAAAGTAGCAGAAGCAAATAAAAACAACAACTGTGAGTAAAGAAGAATGCATAATTCAATAATTTACAGTAAATTACAGAAAAAGTCATAAATAATCATCCAACCTCCATAAAATACCCTCTTTTACAATTGCTTGCTGTTTTATCAGCAGCTTTTTTTATATGCTAAAGTGTTATAAAACAACAAATAATCGCTAATTCAAAACATTATAATGTCATGATGAGATGACGTCAAGTATTATGCTTTACGAGTTCATACTGCACGATTTTCAATCACAGGGAGAACATGCAAACTCCACACAGAAACGCCAACTGACCCAGCCGAAGCTCGAACCAGTGACCTTTTTGCTGTGAGGCGACAGCACTACCTACTGCGCCACTGTGTCGCCCGCATTTCATGCAGTATGAATTTAAACGGATTCCCTCAGATTATGTCTTCACACTGTGCGACTCTCTCTCGCATCAACGAGTACCTTTTTGACTTCAATTTCTCGCATTTGTTGGCAATTTCATAAAACCGGTTGATGATGAACTTCCGTGGTGGGAACTCGGTATTAGGTAGATATACATACATTGTTGTGATTGTGTTGTGATGTGTAAAATACTTGCATTTGTGTAAAAAAAGTACATAAAAAGTAATACTTTTTAGAATAAGAAAGATTGTTTTATTAGATGACACCCTTATCCTTCGGCTGGCATCATGTAGTAGAGTCTTTAAAGCTGAAACAGCAATTTAGACACTTAGCCCTTTTGATCTGTCCTTGCAGGATCTGGCATCATGGAGAACCTAGTAGTGGTGGAGGACAAGTGGAAGAAGACTGTGTTTTAACTGTTACATCAGCATGGGCTGATTACCCATGCGATGCTGAATTCCAATGGATCTGTGAGAAGAGAGTTTTTAAATAACCATTTTCATATTTATTGTCACCTCTTTTTTGCTATTTTTGTTTACTCTGTTGGAAAAACCTCTCGTTAAAACCATCTGATGCTGAAATCTTAATCCATGTATTAATCATGTCACATCTGGATTACTGCAATACTATTGTTTTGGTCTGCCTAAAAAAAACGAATTGCCAGGATGAAGTGTTTAAAACTCAGCAGCAAGAGTTCTCATTTCTGCTCACATTACTCCTCTACAAGCATCACTGGATACCTGTGCCATTGCATAAACCGTTGAAAATATTACTCATATTTAAATCATTAACTGTGCTTTCACATCTTTCTGGCCTACTGTACCTTTACTCTCCTGGCTCTAAGCTCAGATCATCTGAGCTTGATCTTTTGGCTGTTCCTCTTTGTCAGCTGTCCACTTTAGGTGGAAGGTTTGGTGTCAATGCTCACAAGTTATGAAATGTACTGCCTCTTACACTTAGAAATATTAGATTTGTCTACTTTTAATGTATATTTTTAATTTGTATTTTGTATAATGTAGCTTCACCGGCCATATATGTATGTTGTCCATGTGAATGTGCAATTTGTTAAGTGATCTTAAGCAATGGGCACTACAGTGTGTAAATAAAACACGAGCTGTTGGTTTTTGTGATGGAATAAATGAATATGCACTGGACTTTCAGTAATCTAGCTCAATCGATTATAGTAAACTGTCATGTCATTATAAAATCACCTTGTTTTAAGATCTGTTTTCCATAAAATCAATGATCTTCACTGCCTGATTGAAATACTTTATAAAGTGGGTCTCAGACTGGACAAGAAGCACTGCATTAAACTCCATATGTGAGTGCAGGAGTTTCAGTGCTCTCCTGTTGCTACTGACTGTGCTTTTGTCATGTTTTACAGCATCAATGCTCTAAAAGAAACATTATGATATTGAAAATATTCACATCAACCCTTAACCGGAAGTTTATCAGTGGCTTAAAAACACTTGTCGGGCATATATATAGGCTGAAAATAGAGCTGCATAGTTAACAGGTACTAAAATAGCATTACACTAAAGCACTAAAATACCGGTGATGCCATTGTTTTTGAAATGGCAGAATCATGGATGCAGGCATACAATAGTCAAGCTGTATGTTTGACAGTTAGGCCACTTGACAATGTTTATTTAAATACTTCCATCTGCAAGACATTAAAAAAAGAGCCTTTCTGAGTGCTCTCTGTTATAAATGTATGTTTACATCATATATGGTACTGATTGTTTTTAAATGTTTTCAATTCTTCTTACGTTGCAAATCTGGTGGTCGCATTGCAGAAGTTTTAACAAGTTGTCTTAAGTTTCATGGAAGAGCTCTGAAATTATAAAAGGAGAACTGATGACTGGAAGAAAGGAGGACCAGACCAACGACACTTTATGTTGTGCTTTCGTTTCTGTGTATACAGAAGTTGTCTGTGAGAGTAACTGTTTTGTGTTGATTTTACAATTAAATTGTATTTAATGCTTGGGGGTTCCAGCCTACTTCTCCTTGGTTTTATCATCAATATAATGGGTTGAAACTTCATATTTCATGGGAAGGGGGAGGCATGAAAACTTTTAACAACCACAAAAAGTGTCCCAGGCTTCCACAGTCGTCACTTCCATTTATCTTGGGATTTGAGAACTCTACAGCATACAGCAGATATTGAACATCAGTCTATCTTTGGCTTAATTTTTATTGAAACTAATTCTAAACCGGTTTCATGAAAGCTACATACAGAAAGGTTTTAGCAATGACTACACTCTTAAATGTTATGCTTATATTTAAATGTAAATACACTGTAGAGATAAGTAATAAAACATGACATTTGAAATTTTGCAATTAAAACCTTTTCTATCTTCCTTGTTTGTAAATATTATTTATTTGTACAAATGGATTAATATTTATTCGATACCTAATTCTAAATCTTATTCACACATAAAAAATTAAATTTAGACTTTCTGTGGTTAATATGTCGATAAATAAGTTAATCAAAACAAAGCATCCTAATAAGAGTGAATGATTACCAGAGACTTTTGTTTTCAGATGAGCTGACTGTTGACTACTAACAATGGTGATAATGAACTTCCATCTGTTGTGTATTATGCAAAATGGCTGTCATGGCACTATAAATTAGACAACGCTCATTTTAACAGAAAAATGATGAGCATAGAGAAGAAGGCTTCATTTTGAACTGCTTTGGGTCAACAGTTGCTTCACATTCAATATAGAATTACATTTCACTTATTTCCTTTAGCTAATGTCTTTTTAAGAAGGCAAGTGTTTGGGCAAGACTGTCAGGGACAGTGTGAGACATAATAAATTATATTTTGAAGGCCATTATAATAGAGAACATGGAAGAAGAAGTTTCTCTTGTATTGCGACTTGGCCTTTAACAGCCTACGCATAGCTGGTACTGTATTTGAAAGCAACTGCAGAGCTTTCAGTTCTAGATACAAAGTCAGACTAAAATGTATAAGAATCTACTGTATTTCATGCTACAATTTGCAAAATTATTTATTACACATATGCACTTAAAACACATGTGGTTATGAATAAAACCAACCCGTTAGCATTCCCACTGGTATAACACATGATTTAATCATATTTATAAAATCATTCAAAACTCAACTGGTCAACTCATTTGGGAAATATGCAACGGACACACGCAGTTCATGTCAATAGGCAATCAAGTATAAAGGTAATAGAAACCAGACACAGAGTATTCAGGACCATGTAAATGCCCTTTGAGGCCCTCACCTCTCTGCTTTATTGATTTACAACCTTTCCCAGCCCTTCAGCAACCTTTATTGATTTCCCACTTTGTAACAATTATTGGGTATTTGTCCTGTACCTGAGCACAAGAGACATTCAGGAGAGAAGTGTTCATGGATATGGGTTTTGCGACGGGAAGGAAAAAAATTAAATTGCATGCATGAAGGTAAAGTGAACACATGAAAAAACAAACTTCTCTTATTATAAATACACAACACCCAGCTACAAACACTAACACAAAGTAAAATGTTGCAAAAAGTAACACTTGCTAGATGATGAAAAAAAAAAACACAAACAAAATGACAAAATGTAAAAATTACATCTTAAATGTAAAAATCTAAATGTAAAAATCTACACCTTAGACATGTAGTAGAATCTGTTACACCTTTGTAAGTATCAAGAAATGTATTCTTTTTCTGTGGTTTTCTTCTAACATTCCTTTAGTCAATATGTGGTTGAATCAGATTGCCATTTTCTTACCCTTAGAAAAACTGACTTATGACTTGTGTCAGATATCTGAAAATTTCTGGCAAATCTGGAATCCTCTATGGGAGTTCTTGGAGAATAAATCTTAAAAGACTATTTTTATTTAATTTTGTTTATTTATTTGTTGTTAATTTTTACCCTTCACAAAAGACTTGACTCACTTGACAATTGTATAATAGATGGCCATATAATTGTATATAATGACATGAGACACCTATAACACTGTTATTCCATTGTAAATCTTTAAATAAATGTTTTAAAAAAAAATGGTACAACGCAATTCCAAAAAAGTAAAAAATCTAAATGTTCAGTTTGCATAAAAAAAAAAAGAAAAAAAAATTGGCCCCGGAAACTTTTAAGCTGTGTTTCATGACTTTCTCTAACACCCTCATTCCCTCACGACAACTAATAAAAATAAAAAAGCAGCAAACTATAAAATATCACAATAAAAAATGCATTCCTAAAAAGTAAATAAAATGAACAAAATAATATTTTCAGCATTTAACAAAATAATGTTCAATTTGCATTAAAAAATTGGCCCCAGAAACTTTTTAAGTTTTGATTTACAAATTTCTCTGACAATATTCTGTGCAAAAACTAATAATAATAATAAAATTAGCAAAAAAAAAAAATTTGACAATTAAAAGAAAAAAAAGTTACACTGCATTCCTACACAGAAAATAAAATTAACAAATTCAATCAAAATATTTTTATTATTTAATAAAACAATGTTCAATTTGCATAAAAAATACCCCAGTAACTTTCTCTAACAACATTCTCTTTGACAACTAATAAATATAAAAACAAAGACATAAAAACAATTTATATTTAAAAATACAAAATATTTAGCTTCAGAAAACTTTTATAATAATAAACAAATAAAACAAATCCAAATTGTAGATGAAATTAAATAATATTTTATCCAGAAAAGTTCAAATCGAGACAGAAAAAAAAAAAAAAAAATTAACAATTGCCAAGCCCTGACAAGGTCACGGCAATCAGCATGCACGTTCCTCCAGCGCTCTGTGTAATCGTCTTAACCTGAAACAATTTCCGACAATAACATGCGACCATAAGCCAACACTATTAGAGATAATGAGACATTTATTCAAATGTGATTGCATGACTCTCCAACCTAATCTGGGTTAAATACAAACACACATTAAAAACCCCTGTAGCCGCTTTGTTTGAACGAGACTGTGACTATAGCGACACAATGTGTTGGGTTAATTACAGCCTTCGTCCACTATTAGCAGTGACGAGGCCACATTCCACTGGTCTGTTCCGGCAACTTTCACTCGCTGATGTCATGAATTACAATATATCACGGAGAGAAAGTTGGTTATCAAAAACAATTAAGACTCTATCAGACTGAGTCATAATCAGCCTAATTATCTGTATTTGCATTCTGATGAAATATGTATCTATGATAACTTGCCACACTGTATTTATAAGCAGCATGCAGTTGCAAGACAGCGCGATAAAGAGACAAATGAAGCAATATCAAGAGGATAAAATGACCCCAAATGTCCAGAGCAGTTTTCCGGGGCCTCGTTGACAATTACTGACAACTAAATCACAGCCTGACAACAGGAAATCCTCTTACCAGATCATTCCGTGTAACACCTCATGATTTCAGACGGCCCGGTCACTTTGTGTCATTCAGTAACTGTCAGGTTCAGACCAAGCAGCCACCGAAATTGCCAGGGGAGAAACGGGAATGGATGGAGAGAAAAAAAAAGGGATATGCTGCTCAAAGAAGAGAAACCCGATTCCATCAGAGAGAGGAGAAATAAATGGATTCTATGTAAAGGTTGCTGAGAGTGAATCAAGAGAGAGACACACACAGACAAACAGTGTGAGGGAAACAGGAAACGCCTCTCAACTCTGTGATTTAACAGTCCAGAGAGCCATCCGCCATGGCAGACGGGAAAACAGTTGGCATTGCTTCTCATTATGGTGTCATGCTAGTGTCCCTCTCTCTTCTTTTGCCACCTGTCCAGCATACCTAATGCCACCCTGGCACTATGCCACCTCGGTTGGCTGACATCATCAAAGAGAGCGAATGTGGGGTGTCACCCCAGACTGGAGGTGAAGAGATGGGAAGTTGTCTACTGCCATATGCTTTTTCCCTTCCAAACCACGAGTCATTACGGACACTTTTTTTTTAATTATTAAGTTTAATTAACCTGTCTATGGGGTCGCTCTTATGGGCCAAAAGCTTGATCATGACAGAAGCCGAGGGTCTTTAGAAGTGCTAAGCATTTGTGAGATCACAGAAAAGCAGTCTGTAATCACATCGTCTCAACACCATGTCTGACAAAACTGTTGGACAGTATCAAACCACAACAGCTTCACGTGGAG